TAAACGTAACTGTAAAATTCGTTACCGTTACCAAAAAAATGTAACTTCGTTACCGTTACAGTTACCAAAGAAAAAAAGTAACGCAGTTACTAGTAAAGTTACCAAAAAAGTAACTTGTAACTGTAACTTCGTTACAAGTAACGAGTTACTTCCATTCCCTGGTATCTAGTTATTATGCTCCTATCCTTCATCCTTTTCTCGCTTTCAGATATCTCTTATATTAATTATATTAAAGCCTGACTATGAATACAGGCAATAAATAATAAATTTCATATTCTTACATAGACACGAAAGGAAAGTCATCGCAACCTAATCCCCCTACAGTTGCTAATGGAGATAAAGTTGCGAATCCTTCAGCTATGGCAAATAAAAGTCTTACTCTCCTGTGGGGTGCTACTGGTGAGCAGGAATGGACGCCTGCTCTAACAACAGGTTTGATTTTAGTATTTTTGGTAATTCTTTGAATTTATACTTATACATTTTACAGGAAATGATAGAGATGTTAGAGATATTTTATTATTATGTGTCCAAACTTTTACTTAATATATCGTTTCTATCATTATACGAGTATATATAATCATTAGGTAGATTAATTTAACATAAAGTCATTTAAATGAGACATATGGATATATGTATATTATGAAGTTTAATATTCTATAATACAATACATTGTAGGCTTTAAAGAATGCAACAAAGTTATCGACTTAGTGTGAACATTAATAAGCTTACAGTCTAAAAGAGAGAATTCTTGAATGATCCTAAACAATGATATTTAAAAATATTCAATTGAATAACAAGTTATTCAATTTACATTACGTATAACATGTAATTTCGGTATCCAATATCCATAAGTTATACATATGTAACGCTTTTTACTTGTATTGTGCTTTTTAATCATATATAATATTATACTCAGAGTTTTTTATATAAATAATATAAATATCACGCGCGATATATAATAAACAGAAGTAGTTCTGTGGTTTCGGCTGTAAATTAAAGCATTAAATAATTAAAATGATTTTTCTCTTAAATTTTATATAATAAATTTAATATTTACATATATAAATATATACCACATTATTTTTAACCCTTAACCGGGTGCGTCGCGGCACTGAGTGCTGTAAAATTTGTTTTTCTGACAAATCATTGGTAATGCAGATCTTTTTTTATTATCGATCTTCGGTATTCTTCATTCAATGTTAAATTTTAATATTATATTTTATTATAAATATATTTTACTTGTTTTTATGACGATTGCCCAATTATTTATTCAATTATTATAACTCCTAAATAATAAATTTATGATGTGGCACTCAGTGCCACGTACGCCCACTAACGTTTGGCCGGGAGGTGCGGTTAAGGGTTAAACAAAATACAGTCAGCAAAGACAGAGACAATAGTTAGGACACATTGTTTTATTGAAAACTTCTACAGATTTGTTCCTGTTTATAGATAATACAATGATAGCGAAAAATTAAATTTACTGCAATTTACATGTTTGATATCAAATATAAGCATAAAAAACTTAATAAATTATTACAATTGATACATTTATGAAAGAATGAAAATACTTGGAAACATCTTAAAAGCAAATATTATCACAATATAGATGACATCATCATTTATTGCATTCATAAAACTCGATATGTATTATATAATACAAAATGTTTGTTGTAATATATTTTAATGATAAGTTATATCTTCCTAGTTTTCTAGTTTGTTTCCTTTTTTATTTATTTATAATTTTGCATATATTTTACACGAATAAAAAATGTAGTATTTTCCTTTTTATAATAGCTTCGCTTAATACAATCTTGCAATTACGCTCTGTTTTTATAGAATCGCATCTCTATATTGTTGGATGATTATATCCAGGTATACATATTTCATACATCTGCGAAAAATTTTTGCAAAGAAAGAAATATTTTCATTCTTGAAAATATCCAATATTTATTTTTACAAAATCATCAATCATCGATACGAATAATGTTGTTTATTTCCATGCTATGGTACGTCTAATTGGGATGCAACGCTGGACGCATTGATACGTGTGATGTACAACGTGTATGATGTCACTTATGCTGTTTTACAGCAATCATAGGTTAGCGCCATACATTATTAGAAATTGATCCGGTTATGGTATATATTTATTTATTTATATTAGGAAAGTTAGCCCGAAGTAGAAGCGTCTATTAAATAGTTCTTCACAATTCTTCACCATTTCTACATCATAATTGTTCTGTGGTTGCATTCCGTTTCATGCATGATCACATAGAGAGCATAGAAGTCGTTCCGTTTCACTCCATGCACAGATCGGGTAAGTTCAAGTCAGTAAAGTGGCTAGACATGTTTGCCGAGTGAATGAGCATTATTAATTCTTCTGTGAATCCAATCAATCATGTTTGATTGCTCGATAAGCAGATCTAGCCGCTTTGCCAACTTGAACTCGATGCTGGAGTGACCAAGTTATTGCATTACAGTTGTATAAAAATCTCCGAATTGACTGAAATGAATAAAAAATCCATTTATAGTATTAAAATAGACGCAAAGTTAGGAGGTGGTGCAGTGGACTTTATATTAAAATCGAAAAAAAGTTAAGCAAGTTTTTAATTTTTTTTCGGTTTTAGTATAAAATTCACTGCACCATTTTCTAACTTTGTGTCTACTAGCTTTAATCCTGTAAAAGGATTTTTGATTCCGTTCAGTCAATTCAGCCTGCGTAACTTTATCTACGCCTGACTCCTATTGTCCTTTCTCCTAAGTTTTTCAGTTCAGACTGTTTTTTGTATGACTGTAATGTCAATAATTTGGTCACTCCAGCATCGCCTTAGGACAGCATATGGACTACCTCATCTCCCGAGGTGAGGCATGGAGTGTGTTCCGTTTTACGCTTGATGCGCATGATCTTTCTTTAATATTCGGTGAACAATAAGGATAAAATGATATATCATGTCGCATAATATATCATTTTGTGATTCATGCGCATCATGCGTAAAATGGAACGCATCTCAGGTGAGGCAATATTCATGCGCTGTCTATGCGTGATGGTTATATTACCCAATGTAGGCGGGAAAAGGCCTGGCCTGTTACACAATAACGACGCAAGCCATAAGTCATAAGAAATTAACCAGTTATAGTCGATTATTTTTCTCATATTCGACTGTGATTGGTCAATTTCTTACGGCTTACGGCTTGCGATTCTATTGTGTAAAAGCTGCCGCAGACAAAATTTCTGTAACAGTAACTTTAAGATGTGAACTTAAGCCGATGAGCTAATCAGGATACTGTTTTAGATCTACGTAGGGGAAAGTGGGCGAATTGTGTGCACTTAAGGGATATTTGTTTTTTTGGGATGGTTTTCTAAGTTCAAAGCGATATAAGTATGGAAATAAAAACTATAAACATTCTTCTACCATTACGTATCCTTATCTTGAACAGATTTTTATTCAATAAGGTTGTATTTGGCAAAAAGGAAAAAACGGAAAAGCGAAAAAATTTCTCGCGCGTCGGGTAATTGTGCGCAAAACAAAAGTAAGAAATGAATGAATTATGGAATGTTGACATAGAAATTAGAGAACATACATTTATTATATTGCAATATAAATATATATTAAACATATTTTAAATGTATATTGTACTATATATTAATAAAAAATACAAAACTAATATAATAATAATCCACATAGACTTTGGCAAAATGAAATGGCAAAATAAAATAGTAGGGTAGACCGGGGAGTAAAGGTCCCCGGGGAAAAAGGTCCACCCCTTGTATCTCGGTAATAAGGCATTCACTAGAAAATTCCGCCACACAGTTCGTCAACTAAGAGTAAGAATCTTATGTCACACAGTTCGTTACTGCCTAATAACCGCCAGGAAACTTGCACGGATGTGCCCATGTGTTTGAGAGCCAAAAGTAAGATATTAGCGCCGCAGTTATTTTGGTCTGAAGGGATCATTTTTGCACCTAGATAGATTAAATAAGTGTATTTATTAATCTTATTCTATTGTTTTAACAGTGTGATTATTAGAATTGTTATTTCTATTATAGTTTTTTAATAACAATGCCGCAAAGTTTACGTGATTTGTTGGGGTAAAAAGTGCCATGGTTGTTGGGGTAAAAGTGCCACGATTGCTCTGTATTCGTTAATGTTGCTTTTATAACAAGTCGATAATCCTAAGTCGATAATCTTATCAGTGAAGTTGACCAATAGTCAACAGTATGAAACGTTACCGATTACTTTCGATTATCGACTCATTATAGAATTAGCATTAGTGGTGTTCGTTACGCAGAGAGGTAAATTATTCAGAATGCTACTTTCATCTCCGATTTCGATGAAATTAGGCTTATTCGACGCGTCTATATTACTGTAATAATGATGACGAATGATTTTATCGCTTAATTATCTTTTATAACAAATATTTTTTCAAATTCGTTATAATCATTCATTATTGGAAGACTGATTTAATTTTTTATTAAGGTTAAAATGACTTAAAAAATCAAGTGTAAGAGGAAAGACTATTTTTATTTGTTTTTGAGCACGATATAGTGCTAGTTTTGTTTCTTCTTTTCAAAGTTTGTCTTAGAGATTAAGAAAACATTAATAATTTAATTTTCTGTTAAAACTGAAATATTTCTATTATAATTTTGTTACCAAAACCCTTTTAATAATAAAAACCCATCTTATAATAAAAAACTCTCTAGTATATACCTATTTTTATATCTGAAAATAGTTCAAACGTAATATATTAGTATTGATACTTTTTACCCCATTATGTGGAACTTCTTGCCCCACATATGGGGTAAGAAGTGCCGAATGACTTCCTCTGTAAAATTTACGATATCTTTGTAATGAAGGGTATATATGCATACTTTCTTGCATATATTTTATAGTCAAAAGACTCTAGTTTAGAAAAATATCAACACGATCTGTGTGAGTTAAATATTCTTTATTTTATAGCAAAAAATGTCAAAAGTGGCCCTTTACTCCCCGGTCTACCCTAATGCTAAAAAGAAACGAAAAAACTAGTGCTAGTCATACAGTATATGGAAGATGGGTAATTGTGCGCATTTTAAAACGCTTGCGTACAGTTGCCCGCCGCGACCTAATTCGGTACGAAATACGATTACTTCAACAATTCTTAACCAAATTTAATAAATAACAGCTCAAAAGATGCACATAATAACGTACTTTAATCATGTATACAATTTTAAACAAACAAATTAAAAATACGGACTTACCGCTTTATTTTCTGAATGCTAAAATAACAAGAAAAGATGTAATTTCACTTTTTTGTATTTCTCTGGCTAGCGATGTATTTATGTCATATCTTTTGTAGTTATATTTTAAGGGGATGGAGTGTCCTGTTTTACCATTAAATTTTAAAGACTCTTTTCTCTTAATTGTGTTTATGGATTGAAAAGTCCTTCTCCATAATTAAAGTATCGACAACAACACAGGCTGCCAGCTACAATTTAATACGAAAAATGGAAGAAAATTAAAAATTGTAGTTTTGTCACCGGCTCCTGCAGTCAACTCGTCACAATATGTGCTGCATATAAGAGTTTCAGATTTTAACCGTTTAAAATAAGTAGCCAGCAGCCTACAGAAAACCTCGAAGAACAATCCTATGCTTTTAGAAACGAGGTAGAGGCTTTGGTATAAGAGAAAAGAGTCGCCAAAAATTTCGTTCGTATACTACGAATAAAATTGACGTAAAGTCATGAAACCGAGTAGTATTTTAGTTGATCTCTTTCTAAGAGATGGCGTTGCAATATGTTAGATAAGGACAAATGAATACGTTTGAGCGAGACAACGATATATGATAAGTATAAGAAATGAATGAAAGATGTCACTATTATCGAATTTGGAATTTAAAAAAGTCTGTACTATCGACCTTGATTAAGTTTGACTGTCACTCCAGCATCTTTTTAAGAGGACGACTTCCTGCGTAAAAATTTCACCACGGTGAAGTCTCCATCTATTGGAAAAGTACCAAACCAGGATGTGCATAATTACCCGCTGCGCACAGTTCCCCCACTTTCCTCTACTCTAACGGAAATAAAAATAGCAGTAAACTTATCTTTAAGGCGAGTTTCAACGGGTTGAAATTCACCTTACTGCAAGGTTATGGTAATAAGTTTACTGTTATTTTCATTTCCGTTAGATTACGTAGATCTAAAGCAATATCCTAATTGGTTCATCGGCTTAAGTTTACGTTTTACGGTCACTGTTGCGAAATTTTGTATGCGGCAGTCTTAAGGCCTGTAAGCAGGAAGATAATCGTAACTGAGTCGTAGAACGTAAGTTATAGTTGTAGTTGACCAATACCTGTTTTACAATAGGGTCGCAAGTCATAAGCCGTAAGAAATTAGTTAATTACAGTTAAATACGAAAAAAATAATCGATTATGATTGGTTCAAGAAACACGGTAGTGTCTCGGCGCTATGCCAATAATTTCTTACGGCTTGCGATCTTATTGTAGAACAAGCTCAAAACATTGTGCGTTGTCCTACGATTATGACTTTCGTTATGATCATCTTCTCAGGGAGAAACACGAGATCGGATAGAAGTCTATTAGACATCGGAGACGTCTACATTTAAAATAAGGTCTAAAATATTAATATTATACGTTATGTGAATAGCAATAAAACAATTTTATATTCGTATGTGTAATCTTTATATCGATATTAATAAGAGGGATGCTAAATCAGCTTTCGTCTTTAGCATTTTGCGTTGTGCCGCATATGACCGCGTAAATTTTAGATGATATGATTCGCTAACTTTAAATACTTATAATTAAAAAATTACTTTAGTCTCGATATTTTGATATTAAACTTTTTGTTTTAAGATGATCTCAGGAATCTAAAATTACCCAGGAAGAAACGCGAGATTGGATAGACGTCTATTAAACGTCTATTTGACAGTTTAAAATATGTTTATAGACGCATCTAGGTAGACGTTGAAACAAAAAATGTCATTTTTTAGACGACTAATAGATGTATCTACAAGATATCTGATTGACATCTGATATATACTAAATAGTCTCATATAATCGTACGTATGATTACATAAGACGTCGAGCAACGTCGAAGACACGTAG